GAGGCCGCCTCCTGCTCGCCTCCTCAGCCGCGGCTTTTCCTCCCTCCCTCAGCGGAGTTGCCTTCTCGCGGACGCCGCCATCTTTAAAACGTCTCAGAGAGGCTGCCTGGCCTCTCCCCGCCTCCCGGCCAATCGGCAGCCGAGGAGCGGGCTCGCGCGCTTCTCGCCCATTGGGTCCGCGGAGACCCGGAGACGCCCCCGCCCACGCTTGGCGGCCAATAGAAACGGGCGCGGGCAAGAGCGGCCAATAGGAGCGGCGGGAAGGCAGGGCCCAAAGGGGTGGCAGGCGATTAGAAGACATAGTGGGCAGGGGAGGGCTTTCGGGCTGTCAGTCAACGCCAATAGGAAGCCAGTCCTCATTAATAACAATAACAACAACAATAATAATCCTTGGGAAGGACTCGATAGGTAGACAAAAATATTTGGCTGACTGCAAATAACAATAATAATAACAATAATAATAATAAAGTATTGATTATTAATTCTTAATTAATTAATTATTCTTGTTTCTTGGAAGAGCACTGAACGAGGAAAACTGGACAGCCACTTGTCTGGAATGGTAGGGGGGGTCTCTGGCTTGAGCAGGGGGTAGACTAGAAGACCTCCAAGGTCCCTTCCAAGTCTGTTATCCTGTTAGATTCCATTAAATAGTCCTTGATTTACAACCATTCATTGAATGAGCCTTCGAGGACAGAACGGCCCTGAAAAAAGCAACTTTTATAGCATCCCCATCGTCACATGATCAAAATTCTGCCGCTTGGCAACTGACTCATCTTTATGACGGTCGCCGTGTCCCCGGATCATGTGATCACCTTTTGCAACCTTCTGACAAGCCAAGTCAGTGGGGAAGCCAGATTCATTTAACGACCGTGTTTCCCACTTAACAACTGCAGTGATTCACTTAACAAACTGTGGCAAGCGAGGTCATAGAATGGGGCAAAACTCAAATGTTTTGCTTAGCAATGGAAATTTTGGGCTCAGCTGCAGTCATAAGTCAAAGTTTCAGTCACTTTACAGCAAGAAAATTGCCAGGAAGAAACAATAGAACAAGTTATCTTCTCATACAGTAGAATCAAAATAAGAGGCAGCAAATGAAAATACCTAATCGATTTAATGTTGACAAGCAGCCTATTTCTTACCCGGATAAGACTTATTTCCCCTTTTTATTTTCCAAGGCTGTGTGTTCGGAGTAAAATTACTGCCGGCGTCTAAAGGTTCCCACCAATGGATATGAAAACTGTATCCATCACCTCCTTGGGACCAGATGTATGCTGAACAGCCGCAAGCACGCAGGCATTTACAAGACTGATCTGGTTTCTTAACCGCATTATAAGGCGAAGGAACAGCTTGTTTATTTTATTAAAAATAGCTTGGCTGCTGGAGGAAGGGACATCAATATATTTATATTTCTCCAGCAGGCCTTTAAACAGAGAGGCATTGTGCTCATTTTGGCTTATAAATGGGTTTAATGCTACCTTTGGGGCAGTGATGGGATTCAAATATGTGAACAACTGGTTCTTTGTGTGGATGCGGCTTCCAGAAGTCCATTCTGGGCCTGGGCAACAAACAATTAGCTACCGGTTCTGCCAAACTGGTGCGAAGTGGCTGAATCCCACGACTGCTTTGGGGGCGTATGGCTATAAGGTACAAGTGGCTTGCAACCGAATGCCATCAGTAAGTAAATAATTGCAATTTAAACCCCACTTCCGGCTCCCAAATCTGAAAACCTAGTAGCAGAAGGCCAGCCTGTTGCTGATGCTGGCCGAGAAGAAATGTGGTTTTAATAAAACTCTAAAGTCGCCGTTTGCATTCCAATCAGCAAAGCACCCAGTTACAACACTGGTTAAGACCTTGGGACGAAATGAGGTGTCTGCATTCAGCCAGGAAAGCAAATAAGATGGCAGATTAGGCTAATCAGATTTCAGGATGGTGTATGGTTTTTCTAACTGACTGAAAGAGGGGTGGGGAACCTGCTTCGTGGGACAACAGGGAAGCTCAGACCCATCAAACAATCCTTCAGTCAAATTAAGGCAGAAGCAAACAAAAATAAAATTACCAATCAGTTTATTGGCTACATTGGCATACAGGCATATGTGACGATATCAAACAAGCTTCAAAAAGGAGTGGATATTTTTTTTAAAAAAAAAAAGCCATATTTCAGTGATCTGAGCAACCCCATAATTTCATTGAGTTTAAAGGCCAAACTACCCTTTAGCAAATTCCTCCAAAGCTTCTCCAATGGGCAGCACCAAGGCGATCCTCGGTTTACGACCATTTCTGTTGCTAAGCAAGCAGACTGTTAAGTGAGTTGTGCTTTGTTTTATGACTTTTTTTCCACCACGGTCATTAAGGGAATCACTGCAGTTGTTAAGCAAATCCAGCTCGTTCCTCCCCCCCAATTGCTCCAATGGTCATAAATGCTTGTCTAATGCTGAAGGTTGACACGCCGTAACGTTCGTAAGCATGGGAACCGGTCATAAGTCCCTCTTTTTTTTGGGAACCGGTCATAAGTCCCTTTAGTGCTGTTGTAACTTCAGTCGCTAAGAGAATGGTCGTAAGCCGAGGAGTAACCTGTACTCCATTGTCACTAAGCCGGTTTTCATTTTTATATACAGTGCAAAAATATTCTCATGCCTCTTTTCTGGCTACGATTTCCGTGTGTGCCAATTTGTCGCCCCTAAATAAATCACGCTCAAGACATATCAGATCACGTCATGCGCTCCAACCCCGATCTGTTAGTTTGTGTGTTCAGTGACCCAGAGACTAGACTGCAGATTTGGGGGGATGTCCCCCTAAAATATCTGAATTGTTCTAAAAGCCCCCAAAATTAGCTCTCTTGGAGGTTAGCTCAGAACTGAACATTTGTACCTCAGCAGAGGTGGGTTTTTTAAAAAAATGATTTGGTTTCTGAATGTGAGGTAGCATTGAGACTTCACAACATTGAGACCTTAGAATAAATCTCTGGCAGTACTTTTTTTTTTTTTTTTTAAAGTAACTGGGGTCACTCATGGAGTTTAACTGGAGAAAAATGGCCTGGGGTTTTCATATTTCTTGACTCAAGCGCCTCCTTCAGGCTGTGGGCCGGCAACTGGGAAGCAATCTAGCGTATTAAACCCCCAGCAGGACATTCTCAATTTAAATTGGCAATCCCAGGGTGGGATCATCTTTTGCAAGACCTATCTCGGTAGCCGGCCTTTCCTTCAAGACGCTGATCTGGGAAGCAAAATTAACAGCGCAACCTTGAGTGTATTGGTTCAGAAGCCCTGCCGAGATCAACCAGACTAGCTTCAGAGAAAACGGACCAGAACTGCAGCCTGCAGTTAAAGCAAGAGAAGTGTGCCGATTCTCTCCTTGCCTAGAGGACGAAGTGGCTCCAGTTATGAATTGTGATTCTTCCATGGGAGGAAAGGAGCAAAGAAATAACGGGGTGACAGGATAGCAGTGTTCCAATATTTGAGGGGCTGCCACAAAGACGAGGGGGTCAGCCTATTCTCCAAAGCCCCTAAAGGCAGGACAAGAAGCAACAGATGGAAACTGATCCAGGAGAGAAGCAACCTAGAACTAAGGAGAAGCTTCCTGACTGTCAGAACCATTCACCAGTGGAACAACCTGCCTCCAGAAGCGGTGAATGCTCCAACACTGGAGGTTTTTAAGAAGAGACTGGACAGCCATTTGTCTGAAATAATATAGGTTCTCCTGCTTGAGCGGGGGGTGGAGGGTAGACTGGAAGACCTCTAAGGTCCCTTCCAACTCTGTCTTTCTGTATGCATAGCTACTTCAAGGAAGCCTGATTGACTTTAGCTGAATTTATTCCCTCCTTTGTGGACATTAAAAAAAACAGAGCCTAAAGTTTCCTTGGGAGCATAATATCACGCAAACAAGAATTTAATCTTAGTCAAGCATGACTATCAGCCTCCCACAGGGCACAAGAATGACACCACTGTCATTTCCACAAACGTCGTAACACCAAAAAGTACACATATTCATTCACACAGCAAAGTGAGGTGTTTAGCTAAAACAGAGTTTTTCAGCCTTATCCCTTTGATATGTTTCCCCCCCCTTTTCTTGATTTAGAACAGTGGTTCTCAACCTTTTTAATGCCGTGACCCCCAACCGGTCATAAGTCAAGGATTACTCAACCAGTCGTAAGTCGAGGACTACTCAACTGGTGCAGCACCGTTTGCAGAATGGGACTTTTGGCGGGCTCAGCAGGGCAGAGACAGCCTGGACAATTCCTATTGGCTTTTGAAAGCCAATAGAATTAGACTCTATTCAAGAGAGCCTATTCTATTGGCTTTCAAAAGCCAATAGAATAAAAGGGAATAGCACAGCTAAGGAAAAGGGGGGGAAAATGGTGGACTGCGTTGTTTGGCGACCCCCGTGAAATGGTCGTTCGACCCCAAATGGGGTCCCGACCCACAGGTTGAGAACCACTGATTTAGAATCTAGAAAGGACATTGCTTCATCTTCAAAGTAATTTAAAAAAAAAAAAGAATTCGGAATAAACGAGATTCTTGATCAACATGTTGAGGCTATACAACAAAACCTGGCTCTTCACATTCAGTTTTGTTATAAGGCTCGGAAAAGGAGGAAGAATTATCTAATTTTAAGGATTTTCCTTAGGTCCAATAACTGTGAGCACACAGAATGCTTCCTATTCTTACAGGCACCTCTGTAAAAACAAACAAACAAAAAAACCCCACCCAAATTCTATACGATCATAAATGCTTACAAATCGCTGATGCCGCCCTATTAAAATTGAATTATGATTTTTTTTCCCACTCTGTAATTTCATCACTTTGCCTTCCAGCTCTCCGTGGTCGAAAGAAAGGCGGAAAAATAGAAGTGTGCCATACATGATTCTCCAAAGTTCTCCGTGATTTTCATCAGCAAGTTAATTAATTCTGGGGTTTTATGCTCCAGGTGATACGTTGTTCTTTTTTTTTCCCCCGAGGCCAGCACAGATCCCTTTGCGCAAAAAAAGAGAGATTGTTTTTAGATAGAGTCTGCTTTTTTTATTCAAATAGTTCTGTTTCTGGATTTTGTGCCAAAAAAAAAATAATAAAATAAAATAGTTTTGTTTGGTTTTTCTTTTTCTTCCACAAATGCTACAGTGATCTAGGCAATGTTAAAGAGAATCCGCTCCCTTTAAATGCTGACTCGGTCCTTGCTTGATTGAGACCAGCCACTTTCTTTTCACTTGATCTTTCCAATTGATCCACAGGAAAGCCACTAGATTTGCAGTTGAAACTGGTAAGTGCTGGTTTTCCATTGATCGATATCTGCGTTCAGCATGGTGCGTTCGGTGAAGGTGACGTGGCCTCCCCCGTCCACAAGAATGACGGTGTTCGCTCTGAAAAAAGGGGGAGAAATCTATTTATCGACACAAGTACGGGGTGGCCTTTGACTTGCAACAGTTCATTTGGTGAGCATTCGAAGTTACGACCGCAGTCAAATAACGTACGACCATTTTTCACACTTACCAACCGTTGCCGCCTCCCCACTGTCACGCGGTCAAAATTCGGAGACTTGGCAACTGGCACTTTACTTAGGATGGTTGCAATGTCCTGGGATCACGTGACCCTCCCCCTTTTGTGGCCGCCTGGCCAGCAAAGTCGGGGGGGGGGGGAAGCCAGATTCGCTTCACAACCGTGTGAACAACTTAACAGCTGCAGCGATTCACTGAACAGCGGTTTTAGGAACCAAAGCAGTCAACCGCAAGAGGATTAAAAAAAAAAATACTATCCAGTTTATAAGGAACGGCTGCTGGAATTGGGTCTGTCTAGTTTAATGAAGAGAAGGACCAGGGGGGACATGATAGCAGTCTTCCAATATCTCAGGGGCTGCCCCCAAGAAGAGGGAGTCAAGCTATTTTCCAAAGCGCCTGAAGGCAGGACAAGAAGCAATGGATGGAAACTAATCAAGGAGAGAAGCAACCTAGAACTAAGGAGAAACTTCCCGACAGTGAGAACAATTAACCAGTGGAACAACCTGCCTCCAGAAGGGTGAATGCTCCAACACTGGAGGTTTGTAAGTAGAGACTGGACAGCCATTTGTCTGAAATGGTATAGGGTTTCCTGCCTGAGCAGGGGGTTGGACCAGGTGACCTCCAAGGTCCCTTCCAACTTTATTATTATTATTACAGTTTTGCTGGTGCAACAAATATTGCTTCTCAGTTTGCCGACGAACTTGGGGGGGGGGGAAGGCAAGAGGTTTGGAATGCAGACTTCAAAGATGAAGAAGCCAGACCATGAGACTCAAGGACGTTACACCAGGTGTCTGGTTAGCCCCATAGACACCTTCTCATAACAATATTTTTCTGGCTTCCCCAATTGACTCTGTTTATCAGGTGATCCCACAGGCTACAACTGTCGTAAATACATACCAGTTGCCAAGTGGCCCAATTCTGATCACGTGACTGTGGGGAATGCTGCGACAATTGTTAGGAGTCAGGATCGGTCGCAACAGCACTGTTTTAGTGCTATTCTAACTTCGAATGGTTTAAGTCAAGGATTAGCTACTGTCTGGGAGAGCTGCATTTGCTGACAGGTTCTCTACCTCCGCACCAAAATAATTCAAGCGGTGAAGTCTTCCTCTTACCTGGTTCCATAATTTGGACATCGGACACACAGAGCTGCGTACTTGTTTAGGAATGGAAGGACGTAATCCTTTCCCTGATCCTCCATGGCAGGGTCCGGAAGCTGACTGGATCAAAAGAAGCCGAATTAGAGACCATGGAACTGAAATTCTTCACTTCCTGTGCTTAGATGGGTGTTGGTTGGTGGCATAGCAGTAATCTTGTCGTTGTTTACTGGAGCCACCAGTACAGTTGTTCTCAAGAGCCCAAAATGCAAGCAGGTCTAGGGATAGGCACTCATAGAGAGGGGAGGGAAGCTTGGGGTCATATCCCTAATCAACTACGGCAGGGGTTCCCAATCCCTGGTTCGTGGACCAGCATCGGCCTGCGGGCAGCCAGGACCCAGACCATGCAAGCCACAAAGCCCCACCGCTCACGGGATGCAGGCAGCGTGCAAAACTAGGTTCCCTTCCCCCCGGTCCACAGAAAAAAAACTCTCCACAGAACTGGTCCGAGGTGCCCAAAAGATTGGGGGCTGCTGAACTATGGTGTCCAATAATGATCACAAACCATTCCAGTCTCCCTACCCATGTTTTCCCCAAAATAAGACTGGGTTTTATATTAATTTTTGTTCCAAAAGACGCATTAGGGTTAGGTCTTATTTTCAGAGAAATACGGTACTAAATGCATCCGTCTATGGGGCACCGTGGACCAGAAGCTCCTTGCCTTCGTAATAATGGCATGTCTCAATCTCATGGATGTCATGGTGCCTTCTTAAATGAAAGTGAGATGGCCCAGTCTGTATAGCAAAGACATGTATTGTGTGCTAAAAGTTCTGGATTCTGGATGGGGACAACACCACCAGCAAGTAAGTCAGTTTGTAAGTCAAGGCAGGGGAAGTTATGACTCTCCAGAAGTTGATGGCCTACAACTCTCAATATCCCCGATACTTGGACATCTACAAGTCACCCCAGAGAATGGTCTGGAGCAAAGCAAGAGAAGACATGGAGCCTTACGGGTCCTGGTTATTCATCAGTTTAATCAGCTCCTGGATCAGCTCTTCCTTCTTGAGGTTCTGGCTGTGTTTGATGACATCTGTAAAAAGCTGCTTCCCATACTGAAGTTTCTTCCAGGGCGTATCCAGCAAAGAATTGCTCAAGCCGTATATCCCTGTGTGGCGAGATTAAATCTACCTTCAGGGATTCTCCAATGAAGCATGGAAGGAGCTGCCCCATAGCTGCTCTCCTTGGTGACAAGTTCACAACATGCACAAAAATCAAGCTCTCTAGGTTTGAGCAAAAACGCAGAAACCGTGACAACATCGCTTGTCTTAGCCCAACTCTCGCCGAGCATCACCATTTTACCTCATGCGTGCAACTGAATGTTGGGAAACTAAAACGTGGAGATAGGGGAAAGTTCTCGCGAAGCTATTTTGAGTTTACAAGGTAAAAAGGGATATTAACCAGATAGCAAGACATACATCCACTGGTTTTGTTTAGGAGAATAAAATTATAGAAAAGACACCCTGGATAATCTGGAAGGTTCATGTCTGGAACACTTGCTAAAAAGAGATACAAACGCAATAAGTAGGTTATCATATTGAAGTATAGTTTCAAAGGGCACTGTATAAGCTGGGAAATAAAAGCCTTGACATCACGTCTCCCAGTATGATAAAAGTCTGTTTGCTAGGAACAGAATTCTGTAAATGGCAAATGCTAATGGCAGATTCGAAGTTATCTTAGCCAGCAAAAGGTTTGTGGCTGTTTTATCAAAGAGTTCCCTGTTTGCTTTGTTCCTGGAGCTTGGCTATTACAAAAAGGCCCCAAATATATACACAATGGGAGATGCAGCGTTACATGACAACAATGGCCTTCACAATGCAAGCCTGGTCATTTGGGGTCACGCGTACAAGATTGTGGTTTGTGTTACAATCCCAGAATGCTGCTTATGTCACCTGCTCCCACCCTCCTGAACACGCTACTGAGTTCTCATGTGCGTCAACCTTTCAGGGAAGGAATTCTGGGAGTTGAAGTCCACAGGTCTTAAAATGGCCAAGATTGGACATCCCTGGTCCACGGCAAGTAGCTAGTCCATCTCTGAATCTTTCAAGGATGACATTTCCCTTTGAGCTTCAGCATCTGTCTTCATGTCTATCATGTCAAAACATAAGCAGGTATGCAGCCACACCACTGCTTTAAAGAAATCAAGGTACCCCCCCTTTTTTTTAATTTAACCCACCGGGATTTAGGAAGAGAGGTTCCAGGTCTCCTTTGTTTCCATAATAGTACATTACATCTCCGTTAGTGGTGCTAAAAGATAAAAGAAGAAGAAGGAGGAGGAGGAGGAGGAGGAGGAGGAGGAGGAGGAGAAGAAGAAGAAGAAGAAGAAGAAGAAGAAGAAGAAGAAGAAGAAGAAGAAGAAGAAGAAGAAGAAGAAGAAGAAGAAGAAGAAGAAATAATGAGTTCTCCTTGCAAAAACCAGCAACTTAAATCTTTGATTCAGCTCTAATTTTCTCCCCCCGTTTGGAAATCAGAAAACTATTTTCTTTTCCTAAAATTAATCTGATGATGTTTCTGCAGTAGATACACACTGATTAACTGTGCCCATGGCAGAGGAAAAAATATTTTTATAGATTTGATCAAATTAATCTTTTAATTAAAAAAAAACACAAACCACTTTTGAAATTAGCAGCTAAGATCCAGTGAGGAAAGTCTTTTGCTGGTAGGTGGGAGAGAGAGATGGAATTGCTCTATAGCCGCTCGGTTTTTCTGCCTTCCAAGAATTAAAATAAAGGAAAATTCCATTTATCCAGTGAGAATTTGATTAGTCCCTTCCCAACACTTCTGTCCGCAGCGTTAGGAGCATCTAAGATGGGCCCAATACATTAAATTAGCACAGTTTCTTGTGCCAATTACATTAGTTGGTTATTAATAATTTCCTATATATTTCACTGAAGCAATCCCATTGTATATTCTAATCACATCTCCTGGTTGTATAATCCATATCTGCTATTTTCATCCTCCCAGGATAATCACCAACTGTATTCAAGAGCCAATTAGATTAAGGAAAAAACAACAACTTAAAATTATCATACCATAAATAGGAACCAATGTCAACCCACACCTATGGAATTAAGGGGAGGGGGGGGGAGGAAGGAAAAGCCAAATCAACAAACCACCCAATCTTTACTGAAGGAAAAACATGCTGTAGAAGGGGGGGGGGGAGAAAAGTCCATCAGCAGAATATAATTATCTGGGTAGATGTGCATAATAAACTCATCCCCAAACAAATGAAAAGTTAATTAGTCAAATATATGCAGCGATATGAATTAGACATCCGTCTTCGGTGCCATAAAACCTTCAGAGGGAAATTAACTAACTCCCTAATATTTGCTGAGCTTGAACAGGGTAAAGGCTCAGCTTA